AATGAAATAGGAATAGATCACACTACAGCGTTTCGAATTTTGAAACGACATAAATATTATTCCTTCAAATATGAAAAGCACCAAGAGCTACGAGACGGGGACGAAATACGGCGACAGGCGTTTTGTTTTGATATGATGGAAAGAGCAAACACGGATAGGGAATTTTTAAAAAACATATGTTTCACTGACGAATGTACGTTTATCTTAAATAATGAACCCAATGTTCAAAATTATCGATATTGGAACAAAGAAAACCAACACAGGTTTGTCGAAACAAGGACGCAATATCCACAGAAAGTAAATGTTTGGGCAGGGATATTCGGACACAATATTATCGGGCCATTATTTCTTACGCGAAATTTAAATGCAGAATATTATTTGGAACTACTCGAAAATCATATTTTACCTGCTTTACATGATGCCCCTAGGGAAAATCAGGAAGTTTGGTACCAAATGGATGGCTGCCTGGCACATAGTACCCTGGCTGTTCGGGAATATTTAGACAATAGTTTTAACCGAAACGTTATTGGCCTAAATCATACAGTAAATTGGCCAGCAAGGTCTCCTGATAATTCGCCAAATGATTTCTTTCTCTGGGGCCATTTAAAAAACAGGATATACAAGGATAAAAAATACCCAAATCTAGACGAGTTAAAAATGCTATTTCTGCCGAATGCAATAGAATTTCAGTTTACCAACTAGCGAATGTAAGAAGAGAATTTTATGATCGCCTGGGTTATTGACTAGCAGTCGATGGAGGAATATTTGAATCGTCTTCTTAAATCCTAAAGTTCTAACAATTTAATTGTACTTAAATTAATAAGTTATTGGATATTGTAATAATACTATAATTAACCTTGTAATTGATTACTTTATTTTACTTTAATTGATGTTAATTTGTATTTATAAATACATCTTCAAGATTTCCGATGTAGGAATGAGTTTTGAATAATACTAAAGCACTAAATAGGTAAATTTCTGAAATGACAACTTCATTTGACAGTTATCTTTTACCTTGACTGGTGCTCATAAGTAAATACAGGGCCATAAGAAAGGAGAAATATTTAAAAAGAAATCGGTGATAACTCGTAAACGAGCTAATCAAAAATATCTAATAAGTTATTCTTTTGAATGTGGATTTTAGTGCTCTTCAATAAACCCAAATAGAATTATTCTCTAAAATAATTAGGGAAGTCAATAATTGACCCCATTAAAATTTACGTGGGATTTCCTATGTCCCGTCCGACGATGCAACACCCGGTATGTCTTCGACACCGCTTGAGGCTTTATAATTATTTTAGGTGTGTTACTGTACAGGGTTTTTATGATTTCAAGCTTCGATTTCATAACAAATTTAATTTGTTTTTTCCTGTCCGTTCTGTAGAGCCGCCTAGGGAATTATCAATTGTTCGAATTCTTCGTGGTTCGATCGAAAAATAAAACTTTTCGTCGTTTTAACCGCAAATCGCATCGGCCTTATTGAAAAACGTCCTGTTGCGGCTTAACGTTACAACCATTGAGGCAGCGCTCATGAGAAACCGTCGAATATACGAAGAATATTCGAAATATTCCATAGTTCGTTAAATTTTATACTAACGGGTCTGCGCGGATGTTTCTTGTACGAAATAAGTGGCGAGCAGGTCGTTAGATTGTCGACTCCTCTGTGACGTGACTTAAATGGCCGACAATTTCGATTATATCGTTGAAGGTTTATTGATGGTACACGTTTGTACAGAAGAAAAACGTCTAAATCGTTTTGGAGACATATTTCAAATACACACATTATTTTGGACCTAATATTATTCTTTTTATATTTTTGGACATATTGGCTTACTACACGACTAACTAATATAAAATTAAAAATCTAAGTGCAACTAGGCTGTTATTATAATTTTATTTCATAATGAGTGAAAATCAACAAAAACAAATTTAATTTTAAACAGAAAATATTGAAAACAATTTTAATTATTTCTCACAACTAATATTCTGTATTGCCTCCTCGAGCCTCAATGCAAGCTGTGAGACGACGTGGCATGCTGTCAATTAAGTTGTCCAGAAGATGTTGAGGAATGGCTTCCCATGTTTCGCGCGCAGCAATTTTCAATTCATTTAAGGTACGGGGAGGGTAATTTGTTTTGGCAATATGGCGTTTTAGCATGTCCCAAGCATGCTCGATCACATTCATATCTGGAGACATCGGTGACCCCACCGTTTTCTTATACCGTCTTCCTCTCAAAATTCGCGAACCGCTAAAGTGCGATGGGGAGGAGCATTATCGTCCATGTAAATAAATTCATCCCCCACTGCCCATCGAAATGGACGCACAATAGGCTCTAAAACGTCTCTAAGATATGAGGCACCTGTCATTCTGCCATCAATAAAAACAAGAGGAATTCGAGCTCCGTGCATATTGAAACGGGACACGGGGTTGAGCTGCATTCAAGCGTGCTCGTCTTCCAGATGCTCTCCAGACCAAAGTTCGTCGCGAGTCTGGCACTATGCCTATTCTTGTTTCATTACTAAACATGACGAAATTCCAATTAGGTCCATATGCTCTCATCTCACCCCATTGTAGTCGCGTAATTTTGTGCTGTAACTTAAGCTTCGGAACATGTAGAGGCCTCCTTAAATGTAATCCTCTGTCATGGAGTCTTCTTGCTATGGTCATTCTTGAAACATTTACTCCTTTAAGGCGAGCTAACTCATTTTTAATAGCAGTACTAGAAAGCAGGGGATTGCGTCGTGCAATTAGGGATATTTTACGGTCTTGCATAGCAGTAGTAACTCTCTTTCTACCTCTTCCAGGCCGGTCTGTAACCTCGTTTGTCTCCCTGATTTTTTATAATATTCGCAAAACGTCGCTTTGGTTAACTCCTACAATTTCAGCTATAGCAACTTGCCGGTAGCCCCGTTGAGACAGTGTTACTATTCTGACTCTATTAAACTGTGAAATAATGTTTCTAGGCATTTTAAGGCCAGAACAATGGTCAAATTTCTTCTGAAACCCCAGAGACCACAAATCGAAATGTACAAAAATTTGTAATAATATTGGGTCTGAACGATAAACATTGTTTACCATATCCATTTTAACCAAAAAATGTTTATTACAGATTATCAAAGCTATATGTATAAAAAAAAAGATTCTTTAAATTCCTTCCCGTATATTTTTAAACGATATATATGCAATAATTTTGGCCATGTGTGTATGTATATTTTAGTGATGACATAAATACAGAACATCAGAATAAAAAGGTACTCCTACCGAATTATGAAAGTGTACAAAGAATTATCCAGAACTTACAGAATGACAAAAGTCACGAACACTCTTCAGAACAGCAGAAAGACTGGAAGAAGAGGACAGGAGAAGAGGCTGAAAAAAATGGAAAAAAACGGTATAGTTTTGAAGATGGCCGGTTTGGCAACGTCGCATATAGCGTACTACCATACCGACCTAGTTAGCACGAGTGGAGGTACCGCAGGATTGAAAATATGCCTTAATTAAAGCCCGAGATATCGCATACTTAACGATACTCGAGCCGATACATAATTGATCTCGTTTTACTGTAATCGAACAAGTCACTTATCTGTCCGTAAGGAATTAATGGCGAGATGCGTTCGACGTCGTTTTTTTTTCGAAAAAAATCTTTTTCTCTTTTTTTTTCGCTATTTTCAGTCCGTTTTAATTTGTTGGTCCGGTTTATAGTTTATTGACGCGAGCGTTTTACTTTTTTGGTCGCCGGATTGCCGGTCATTAATTAATTTTCATGATATTTGAATAGTTTAACCGCTTTTGAGGCGAATATTTATTAAATCATTAGATACTAATTATTTATGGACATCCAGTATAGATTTATCGGTGTCAGTGCACATAAAAATTATGTTCTTGATTCTAGACAGTAAAAGGAAAAAGTAATATGAATATATTCATGGGTTTTTTGATAACATTCCGTGTATTGTTATTTTAATGATGTTTGCAATTGGTTATAGATGTTTTACTGTGAATATTTAGAGATCATTAAATACTGATTTAGTAGAATCGAGTTATTCGTGTCAGTGTATAATAAAAAGAAAACAAAAAATTAATAAATCTACTTATATTCATGGTTGTTTTTGAGAACATTCCATGTATTGATATTTTAATGATATTTCGAATTGGTTAGGTGTTTTTACCGTAAATATATATAGATCATTAAATATTAAATTATTATCATACAAAATTGATAATGGTTCACATAAAAATAATGATCTTTATTTTAAGCAATAAAATTTAATGCTTTGGAATTTGGAATTCCAAATACTGTTGGTAATTTGGAATACTCACATATTGAAGCTATGTGTGGCGCTGTCTGGTTAAATACACAGAATATACTAACGAAAAAGAAGCCCAAGTTCCTTGTAATAAATCGGTTCCATTTTCGTAACGCCATCTCTCGACAAAGCTGACATTTACAGGTTAGCCAAAGGGGTGCGGGGCCGGGGGGAATTGTAAAATACACTTTTTTATTTTAATTATTTTTATTCGCTATTTGCAATTTTATTTTTATCTGAAACAATCACATAATATGTCTTAAAAATAAAATTACAAACTGAAACAAAAGGAATTAAATAATCTGAAAATCTACAAAGTTTATTGATAAAAAAGTTAGGCTATGCAAATTTATATATTAAGTATAACCTCTTTGGTATAACATTGTTAAACAAACATTAACAAATCATAACATATCAGATCATAGAACTAAAAAAAGTATTATTACATAAAAACAGGTGATACAATACTTCAAAATTAATTTTAACATAATATCAAAACCGAATCAAACTGCAAACACAACCACACTTATCACAACAGAAATTAACACACACTTCCGCGGCAAATGTCCAAGAAAGACTGATCATTCTGATTGGTCCTGGTCCGGTCGTAGCTCACGTCGTATTGTCGGTAAGCAAAATCCCTGTCCAAAAATCTTGACGATCAGCGCCATCATCCGTCATAATTGGGAAACTTTTGCTGGAACCATTTTGGATATTTCACTTACACGGCCCTGGTTAAATATGGTATAGTAAACGCCACGAATGTTTGGGAGTGATTCATCGGTCGCTACCATGTGAACTAAACTGTTCAAGGTCACATAAAACTTAATTCCAGTGCCGTGGTGTTTCAAGTCATATGATAATCAATATATAATCTGTTGTAAGTTGTTGTTTTAACTGTCAAAGTCTTGTCAAAACATATATTTGGTTATAAATATAAAATGGAATGCCCCATTGGTCGCACTGCAAGCACACCAATGGACTGACGCACAAAAACGAATCATTCAAAGAAACGCGATATAGTATCGTCTTTGTCAATCACGCTAACATTTTAGAATAAGTAGGAGGAGCGCAGGCAGATGATTAGACCGGACCTTTAAAAACCTACGTCTGCGGTAAACATTTACGTTTTTAATGTAAAAATGATAGCGCGCGTGTCGATTCTAACTTCATCAAGCGATGAATCACTCCCAAACATTCGTGGCGTTTATTATATAAACTACTAGTTCAGCTTGTACAGGGTGGCGCCTCTCATACGCCGCGAAAGGTCCAAGGAGAACGGTAGTGTATATCGAAATGAAATTTTGGCAGCGTATGTAGGTTAACTAAAAGCATTTTATAAAAATATATAGAATTATACAGGGTGTCCTCAAAAAAAGTTACACATTAAAGATGTGTTTTTTCTAATGGAACACTTCATATATTAATTGATTTTTGAAGGTGAGTTTTATTAAAGAAACATATACCTAGAATCTAAGGATTTTGACATATTTCACATTTTATGAAAATGAAGAGTAAATTTTAAATTTCGATAACAGCTACCTAAATTTTAGTTGACCTTGTATAGCCTGATATTTAATTACAGTAATTATTGTATGTTAAACCAAATTGAAATTTGGCCCGAAAAATTATACAGGGTGAGATAAAATTAATATGGAACATTAGTCCCTTTAAAAACCAAGTTACTCCGTTATTTTAAATGGAACACCCAGTATATTTTTCTGGTGTTAAACGGGGAATTTATATATCTTCAAAATATTATTAAGGTTGCTTACCCCTCAGACAAAGATTTTCCTAGATATTATAATTTTTATGATTTTGCGTCAGTAGATCTTTATTATTTCAAAAAATCTAGGTGGCTGTGTGATATATCTTTTGTTAATTTAACAAAAATTAAAGATTGTATAGTAAAATACCCAAAGGTAATAAAAAGATACACGTTTAAAATATATTTTAATGGTTACAGAATTAAAACTAGATATAAACCTATAATTATGTGACAAAAATTAGCTAGATGAAATCAAATGCTGAAAATGCTTCCTTTCCTGTTAACTGCATAAAATGATTGTCTTTTCAAAAGGATCTTTTCATTTTAAAATGCGTATGTGGAGTTCTACCTCGAAAAGCTAGAACAATTTCTCTCATGTTGTCGACAATAGTTGGTCGAGTTTTCTAAACACTGTCTTTAATATTATGGAGATATCATAAAAAACAGACTAGGTAAAATCAGGAGCATTTAATCTGAGAATTTTTTTTGTTTTAACTGACACAAAGTGATAACTAGTTGTTAAAGTTGGTCTAATTAGACAGCTATGTCGAAGTAACTTCAGACATATCACCAGCCACCTAGATTCTATCAAATAATAAATATCTACACAGATCAAATCATGTAAATTAAAATATCTAGGAAAATCTTTATTTGAGGGGTAGACAACCTATGATGTAAAAAAGAACAGTTTCAACCGAAAAAAAAAATAATTGTTAACATTTAATCAGAAATAAATTTTGATATAATTCCTTAAAGATAATTAATTAATTACATGTGGCAACGCCGCGTTTCTTCTTTTTGCGCTTCTTCGCCGGTCCCATAATCAAATATGAAACTAATGGGAAGCGATCGGTGCCGTTCTTCTTCCTCCTTTTTATATGCACGATATTTAATTGAAAAATTCCGATAATTCACGTGTATAACGGCACGCCAACACCATTTTCACCGTTTTTTTTCGTCTTTTTCTTCTGTTCATTCTTCGTTTTGCCGACCGCAAGCTCCAGCGACCGACTTCTCTTAAATAATTACTCTTTATTAGTTTTATTATTGTATGTAAATTCAGAAAAGCGTTTTTGCTCGGGACGATTAAATTGGTATTTGTTTTTCTTTTTCCTTTAACCCGTATATTAAATATGTTAAGAAGAATAAAAGAACATTTGTATGTTTTATAAATAAGTGGAATTAGAGTGCTCTAATGTACAGGGTGGGTCAAATTTGACGCTTTTAAAGGGAAACACCCTTTCCTATAGAAGATAGACGAAAACTAATATTAGTGCCTGGAGCTCAATTTTTATTAAAAATATGATGGTGAAAACCGCACATCGATATCTGTTACCGTTTATGAATTATGGGGTGCTTTTCAAAAATATGCATTTTTAACAAATCGCTATAACTTTTTTGCTATGGAAAATTTTGTATTTTTGTGAAAATATTTTCAAAGCACCTTTTACGTAGAATTTAATGGTTTAAGTATAATTTTTTTAAAATTAATAATTTAAGAGTTATCAACGGAAAAAATGATTTTTTATTTGGGAAACCCTGTATATTTTTAATTAAGTGAAAAGAACTTAAAATTGCCTTTCCAAAAATATAGCACACTTGATATTTTGTTATAGTCTCCTGGAAATACAGAATTTTTAAAAGATCGCCACGTTTTAACTAGTAGGCTTTGAACCTCTTATTGATGACGTGCCCCTAATGCAATGGAACTCTTAAAACATATTTTTCCAACAAGACGAGGCACCGCCTGAGAACGTTGAAGATGTCAGCAAATTTTTGCAGCCAATTTCGAGAATAATTGAATAACTAATCAAGATCCCAGCCGATGGCCGTCGAGGCGGCCGGACTTAGCGCCAGTGAATTTTTATCTTTGCGGAAGAATAAAGGTTCTTATTTTGAAATTGCCCGTACAATCTAGACAAGAATTATAAGTACTTAGTGGTTACGCGATCTTTCAGCCCCACTGAGTTAATAATGTCGAACACGTGTAGGAAAATCTCATGTCTTGGTTTGCTATTTATTTTTATTGTTATTAGATATAGTTTAAATGTGTTGATGTTAAATATAGTTTAAATTGTTATAACATCCTACATCTCTCATTGCAAATATTATTTTCGTTTTAATTCCTGCTCACAGCTAGAATTTTTTTTGTATTACAGCCGACGCCGGTCAAAGCCTACTTATTCAAAGTGGGCCAATTTTTATATACTTTATATCTCGAAGTGGAATCGAGCAAAATATCAAGTATGCTATACTTTTGGAAAGGTAATTTTAAATTCTTTAAAGAATTAATCATTTTCTTTGTATATTTTATATATTCTATATATTCTTTAAGTTGCTCAACCGGCTAGACAAAATGTGCTGCCAGCTGGAGGACAAATCGTGAACCTTTCGGGGCGGAGTCAAAATATCGATTATTTTCGTTATTTTCCTCAGAGTAATGTAATAATATAGCCCGGGTTTCTGCATCTTTAATAGTGATCAGCTGATTAAGAAATTTAAACGAAACTTTTATTTTATTGTAGATTGTGGATTATTTTTGCCTGTTATTTTAAAAATTTTAAACCGTATTGACAAAGAAATTATTATTTCGATATGTTGGTACATTTTTTTATAATTTATGATAATGCTAATTACTGGTAATTATTATTTAGAAAAAGTTACATACCCATTTTTACTTGATTTAATGCAGGTTTATAAAAGAATCACTTCATTCTTAGATTATTTTATTCTAAATTGAGTGTTTTACGAATTTTACGATATTTTTTTTTTTTGAAAACATAAAACTTTTTACATTCTTTATTAAATGTTCAAAAAATTGCAACTTGTTTAAACAAAAATTGTAAATATGAATTTTTTAAATGAAGAAAAGCGTGTAGGATTATTGGTTCAACTTTTCTTGGCCGTACATTTTCCAGGATACGTTGACCGGTAAACGTTATTTACGTTTTTTAGAGAACGGTTTTCAAGACATGTTAAGAAAAGTTAAATTTAGATAGTCGCGCATCAATAGGGTGGTTCCAACATGACTTTCATTATGACACCTCCCCCACCCATAATGAAAGAAATGTTAAAAATTATTTATATCACAATTATGCAAAATCAGGGATCGGAAGAGGTGGACCAATTGCATGAGCCCCCTCGAAGAGGCGGTACGGGAGAACATTTTCTAAAATAACTTAAGCGTATGGGGTAGTGTATTATGAAGTTTCAGTTTGCGTAATGTAAATCATAAAGAACCGTTTAATAATATATTGTATGTTTTTAGAGTAAGAATACCATGCTAACTAAGTGAAATTAGCCAAGAAAGAAAAGAATTGGCTATAACTATAACTCTGTATCTAACTGTAATTTTTCGAAAAAAACATATATACCTATATCGCCGAAAAGCTTAAAAATGGCGATTTTTATGAAGTCATGGCCAACTATGGTCAAAAATTACAGGCTTTAGAAAAAATCAGAAAACACAAACTCATTAGGTATGTGATTATCTACAACTTTTTGTCTAAAATAGATTATAATGGAATTAGGGACGATAATTTAGAGATAATTAGATAATTAGATTAGTAAGATAATTAGATTAGTAAGCGATAAACTTTTTCAAAAATCCGAAAGGCGCATATTTATGACCCCACAAAACTGCAATTCTTTCCCCATTAACCGACTCTCTATCTCCAGTAGGTAGTTTCCGAGATACCCATAGAGAACATCGTGGGAAACTCACCCTGTATAGTATTTTGAAACGAACTATTATTATTATTTGACTAGTTTAATTTGATTAATAAGGCTAGATTAATTTAATTTCAAATAAATTTATTAAAGTATTTACAATGGTCGAATTGTATAATTGCCAGCTTTTATAGCATATCTAATAGATAAAAAGTATCTGGTCGATTAGTAACCAATTGGCACAGTCCAAAAATTATCGA